GCTGCGCTTGAATCCAGGAACCAACTCACCAACGAAAGTGTCGCAATGTATATCGAGGACATGATCCGCCTGTTCAAGCGCGCAGATACCCATATGACCGAAGACAAGAAGCTACGCCACCTCATGCGTGGGGTGAAGCAAGAGCTATTCGCTGTTCTCGTCCGCAACCCACCACGAACAGTTGCGGAGTTTCATACGGAAGCGACAGCCATAGAGAAAACGCTAGAACAGCGGGCTCGACAGTACAATCGAGACATAAACTATGGACCTGCCAATGTCTTCTCTGGACGCCAGCGAAGTGACATGGACGCTCTGCAAGAACTCATCAGGTCGGTGATCAGGGAAGAGCTCAGCAAGTTGCAAGCACCTCACACTACAGCAACACTGTCTGTAGTCGACGTAGTACGAGATGAACTGAGGCAGATGATACGTGAGCCGGAGCGTGCGCCACAGCCGATCCAACGCATACCAACGTACTCTGAAGTACTCAGACAACCCGCGGCGCACACCAATGCAGCAGTTACGATGGCCTCTCCTTGCCCACAAACGGTACGCAGCGCACCTCGTCCACTGGAACCGACGGCTACCTACCTGCCACGAGCCCGTGGTGTAGCTCGCTACGTGGATCAAAGGCCCCGGAAAAGTGACATCTGGCGTGACCATGAGCGCAGGCTTTTGTGTTTCCATTGTGGGGAAGCAGGTCACCTGTATAGGTTCTGCCCTTACCGACAGGCAGGATTAAGGGGCTTTCCGTTGTATGCACCATGCCCTCGAAATGGTGAACGGCCAACCGAGATCGAAGAGTACTTGTCCGCGCGCCAGAGCCCACTCACTCCACGCCAACATCAGCCAAGATCGCCGTCGCCCAGGCGTTACCGATCACCCAGCCCACGTGCTTCTTCCGCACGGTCTGGGCACCGTTCTACAAGCCCACACCAGGAAAACTGAAGCAAGCGACCTGTGGAGCTGAGGCCGCTGATAACGACAGTTGCGAAGATCCTCCATCGCGGTTTCAAGGTGACGATGCTATGTTTACAGAGGATAAGCGCAGCAGTGCGAAGATTACTTCAGATTTGCGGTTGAAAATAGACGGATACGAGCTGAATGCTTTAGTTGACACCGGCGCTGATTATTCGGTAATGAGTCACAAATTGGCAAAGAAACTGAAAAAGGTTGTAACAAAATGGAGTGGGGCACAGATATGCACGGCAGGTGGCCACACTATTACACCGCTCGGCAGATGCACCTCAAGGCTCGAAATAAGAGGCTTTACTTACGTTGCTGACTTCATCGTGCTGCCGGACTGTTCAAGAGAGCTTATACTAGGAATGGATTTTCTGCAAGCCAATGGAGCCATAATTAATCTGCGCAGATCCAGTGTAACGTTTTCGACAGAACAAGCTATGTTGGTGGAGGAATCGGAAAAGCAACGTCTTACTGCCCTGCGCGTTGTTGATGATGACGTCACAGTGCCACCTCGCTGTAGTGTAATGGTGCTTGTTGAAAATAAGGCATTTTGTGACCACGAAGGAATAGCGGATGGAAACGTAGAGCTATTTTTAAACAAAGGAATTTGCGTGGCAAGGGGTGTTGTTCACTTAACGAATGGCCGCTCAGTTGTCCTCCTTACGAATTTTGGGAATGAATGTCAGCACATCGCGCAAGGTATGGCTATCGCCTATTTCCACGAGTTCTGCATGACAACTGAACTATGCAGTTTAGCGACAACGCCAACCACTCCACAAGAGACCTGCAACGTCGACGCATCAGTTAACGTCAACCATAGGCTCCCAGAATATCAAAAGAAACGATTGTTTGCCCTTATAAAAGAGTTTTCGGACTGCTTTTCAACGTCCTCTAAGGTGCGACGAACGGCTATTGCAAAACACAGGATTATAACAGAAGAAGCCACGAGACCGATTTACCAACACCCATATCGAGTATCGCAAAAGGAAAGAGACGTCATCAAGAAACAAGTGGAGGAGATGCTTTCAGATGACGTGATCCAGCCTTCCAGCAGTCCATGGGCGTCTCCCGTAGTGCTTGTTAAAAAGAAAGATAACAGCCTTCGATTCTGCGTCGACTATCGGAAACTGAACAGCGTAACGAAACGGGATGTATACCCTCTGCCGCGTATCGATGATACACTCGATCGACTACGGAGTGCGAAATACTTCTCCTCCCTTGATCTCAAGAGCGGATATTGGCAAATTGAGGTGGATGAGCGCGACCGTGAAAAGACGGCATTCATAACCCCAGACGGACTCTACGAATTTAAAGCGCTTCCATTCGGCCTGTGCACAGCGCCAGCTACGTTTCAGAGAATGATGGACGCTGTCCTCGCGGGACTGAAATGGCAGTCCTGCTTGGTGTACTTGGATGACGTTGTCGTATTTTCCGCTACATTCGACCAACATCTAGAGCGACTCCGCACAGTATTAGAAGCCATTCGTTCAGCAGACTTGACCATCAAGCCAGAAAAATGCCACTTCGCTTTTGAAGAGCTTCGATTCCTCGGACACGTTGTCAGCTCCGACGGCGTTCGGCCAGATCCCGAAAAGACAGCTGCCATCGCGAAGTTCCCGACACCCAAAGACAAGAAGTCAGTACGTGGCTTCCTGGGTTTATGCGCGTACTATCGGCGATTTGTGGAAAATTTTTCGAACATTGCTGAACCACTTACTAATCTGACAAAAGACGAGGTGCCCTTTAGGTGGGAAAGTGAACAACAGGAAGCATTTGATGAGTTAAGAACACGCCTGCAAGCCTCTCCAATCCTCGCCCACTTCGATGATACTGCCGAAACTGAAGTTCCCACTGATGCGAGTAACGTCGGCCTCGGAGCCATTCTAGTCCAGCGGCAAAACGGCCAAGAAAAAGTGCTAGCGTATGCCAGCCGCAAGCTTTCGAAAGCTGAGACAAATTACTCTGCAACCGAAAAAGAGTGTCTCGCGGTCATTTGGGCCATAAGTAAATTTCGGCCGTACCTCTACGGTAGACCATTCCGAGCAGTAAGTGACCACCATTGCCTGTGTTGGCTGGCGAATCTTAAGGATCCTTCTGGCCGACTAGCAAGATGGAGCCTTAGGCTACAAGAGTACGATGTTACTGTGGTATACAAATCTGGGAAAAAGCACAGCGATGCCGACTGCCTGTCACGCGCACCAGTGGAGACGAGTGAGCCGGAGGAAGAAGACTTCCCGTTTCTAGGCGTCGTCCAGGCATCAGAAATCGCTGAACAACAACAAAATGACCCCGATTTGCTGCCACTTATACAGCGTCTCCAAGGACTCAACGTTAAAGTCCCGCGCACTTTATCCAGAGGGCTCCCTTCGTTCTGTCTTCGGGAAGGGGTCCTTTACAAGAGGAACTTCAAGCCTCATGGTGACAAGTTTTTACTCGTTGTACCTGCACCTTTACGAAACGAGATTCTGCACGCATGTCATGATGAGCCAACATCTGGGCACATGGGTGTCAGCCGTACATTCGCCAGAATTCACCTAAAATACTACTGGCCAAAACTGTTATCATCAGTTCAGCGCTATGTGAAAACTTGCCGTGAGTGTCAAAGACGCAAAACTCCATCCGTGAAACCTGCAGGCCTCCTCCAGCCAATAGAACCACCGCATGCCCCATTCCAACAAGTTGGTATGGATCTCCTAGGCCCGTTTCCGACATCGACTGCACACAAGAAGTGGATAGTCGTAGCCACAGACTATCTCACTCGCTATGCTGAGACTGACTCGCTGTACACTGCAACATCTCTTGAAGTCGCCAAGTTCTTCATCAACAACATAGTCCTCAGACATGGTGCACCCAGCGTGGTAATTACAGATCGTGGCCCAGCTTTTACTGCAGACCTAATGAAATGTCTGATGCGAATGACCCACACAGACCAGAGAAGAACTACAGCATACCATCCTCAAACAAATGGCCTAACGGAGCGCTTGAACAGAACTCTGACTGATATGCTTTCAATGTATATCGACGTCGAACATAAACTGTGGGATGAAATCTTGCCCTACATCACGTTCGCATATAATACAGCCGTTCAAGAAACAACGCGAGTGACACCATTTGAACTTGTATTCGGCCGAAGAGTCACCACTCCTCTGGATGCCATGTTACCACTGAATGATGAAAGCAGCAATCCACCTGGCCTAGACGACTTCCTGCAAAGAGCCGAGGAAGCACGACAGATGGCGAGATACAGAATACGCCGCCAACAACGTATCGACTCCTATCGGTACAATCAGCGTCGTACCGCAGCGCATTTTCAATCAGGTGACAAAGTATGGATATGGACCCCAGTGCGTCGGCGCGGACTTTCTGAAAAACTTTTTAGCCACTACTTCGGGCCTTACGAAGTACTCCATCGTGTAAGCGATGTAACTTACCAAGTCAGATCCGCTATACACGGGAGCTCAAAACGCTGCAACCCTACAGAGGTTGTACATGTAGTCCGGATGAAGCCGTACTATGAGAGATCACCGGAAGACCAGTGACGCCTACGCCTACCACGAATCTATTCATTGCCTGACGCATCGGGACGATGCGTGTGAGGAGGGGGATTATGCCACGACATAGTGCCTGCATTTAAATAACGCGCCCATCACCACGCGCACAGAGACATACATGGGCGCCGTCTAGTGTTGCGCAGAGACGATGATGATAACACGAGAACCCAGCTGGCCCCTGCTGATGTGTGCCACGCGCTTGGGACACTTCTTGAAGAAGTAGAAGAGGAAGACATCTTGCCGTTCTGCTGTAACGTGCTACGACCATAGTCCCTTTGAGTTGTGGGCACAGGTTCGCCCTTTAATAAATACGTTTTGTTATACCCCGAGTCCTTCAACATCGTTACAATATATGTTAAAGTAAAGTTTGCTTTGGAAATAAGTATCCGTTTTAGTTATTCAGGGTTTGGTTCAATACTTGAAGCTGTATTCATTGTAGGTCATTTTACTAAGCAGTGTTTGGTGTCTGCATTGTCTTCCCAGGACCTGGTCAAGCTGTGACTTTGTGCTCTGAGTGGCAGCTTCATGAGGGCCGAGTACACAGTATTCGATGGGTTTCTGATGATCCACCGGCCTACCTGAGTAGTGGGCCAAACGGAGTCATGGTACGTTTTGTGTAAAACTTGTGGAGGCAGGGAAAGCAGGACCGTACCGCATATGATATCTTTAGGTTTTTCTCTAACATTTATGAACTGGATGCTTATGCAAAACGTTAAGTACTAATCCTGAAAAATAGCGGTTTTGAATGAAAAAAAAAGGTGGCTCTGATGGTGACATGCCATTAGACACAGTTGCCATCAGATTCCTATTTCCTAATGAACAAAAATGAGTTGTATCTAAAGGAGGATTTACTCCAGGGAGGTGCCGGTGTTTGTCCTCTTTCGAGACATGCTGAATCAGTTATTTTTTTGTGAATCTAGTGTCAAGCATGAAGACAATAAAAAAAACAACAGTGAACATGATAAAAGCAAAAGACAAGACGTTCTGGCTAATTTTAATTTTTTTTGTGTGTGAACAAGACCCCCTTAAAGGAGCCGAAGTGTCTTGCCTTTTGCTTTTATTGTGGTCAGTGTTTTGTTTTAATTGTCTTCATGTCTGCTTTTCACCAGATGGTTTTTCATTCAACTATATATAGTATCATGCAGACGTTCTTTATAAAGAGTGTGGTAAGTTTGATTTCATATTTCCGTGTGATGTCTTGCTCGGCAGTTCCTCTCTTTTGTTTAACATATTCTGTCACCAAGTGAGAAGTGTGCTAGTTATCATCGTCTTGAATGCCTCTGAAGTTTGACATGGGGAACTTCCAGTGAGATGAACCCCATGCCTTTTTTAACCAACTTGAGAGAACTATAGAAAGCCAAAGATCACATCACATCACGTCGCTTTCTTAAAGACCCCTTAAATAGTGTTACATAAGAGGTGGATGTACAGTACAGCCAGGTAAAGTCACTCAGTAAGAAAGTTGTTTACATTTTCCAAGAAGTTTGATGGAATAGTAATGGCTGTAATGGGGTGAGAAGGACAATTCCAATCTGTTGTTGCTTGGGGGAAAAAGGAAGTGGAGAAGTGACAGTGCGAACACGTGGGCGTGACACTTGCAGTTCATGTAAGGTGGATGTAAGGTGGATGGTCGAGATCACTGTGAAAAATTTTGTGCAGTAAAGATAGCGCGGCAATACCATGACCACGACAAAGATTAGATAAACTGGATTCAGCTCGGTAATGATAGATGGAATGAATGAGTCTAGCATCTCGGTTTTAAACTGCTTCCAGGGCAGAGGCGAGGTAAAACTTGTGTGAACTAGCTCACACAAGTTTCTTACCTTGCCAAGTTGCAGCGCTCCGAGGTGTTTTATTCTCTTACCTGGATATCTTTGACGTTGACGACCGTCCCCTGGGCCGCGCAAGTGTCATATGCCACCGCATCGACATCGGCGACGCCAATCCACTCCACAAACACCCTTACCATGTGTCTCATGCTGAGTGCTAAGTTATAGGGGAGAGCCACGCCGAGGGAGGCGCTGCAGAGCCTGGCGCTGTCAATCAATGCGGGGAGAAAACTGGTTACTCGAGTGTTTACCCTTTCGCTGTCCCCTTCAACCTGCCTTGAAAACGCCTTGCTTTGCTCGCACGCTGCACGCGTTCTGCACATGTTTTTGAGAGTATCGCGTCACGCGCGGTTATGGTGTATACGCTTCTGCCCGCGTTTAATAGGATTGCCGGAATTGAGGATTTTTTTTCGTGGGAGCAATTTGATAAAAGGGCAGCGTCTGCTCAGCCATGTAGCCGATGTGAAGCAAATTACTGGTGGGTGCGAGAGGCATCTCTAGCAATTCTGAATCACTTGAAAGCGTGACATCGAGCAAAACAGAGTTCTGTTCATCTTGCATTGCTGGGTAATCTTGAGCAATACCTTGCGGCACAGCCTGCTCCACGGAATTTCGTGCTGATCTGGCTGGCCTCACAGAATGACGCTTCCACCAAAGCAAAATAAAGTGGTGGAGAGATTAGATCGTGCCGTTCACAACAACGTTCATACGTTGGAGTTTTTTTTTTTGTTCAGATATTGTACGGTGATCAACATTGAGCATATCTGTAGTACGCCAGATATTAATATTTTTTTATCATCTTCAAGTATAAAATGTACAAGTCTGAAAATGAGTATACGTTTAAGGGTTTTCCGTGATCCTGTTAGTAACGCCTTACATTCAGAAAATAAAACAAGTACTGCATATGAAATCAAACTCTATGAAAACATGTACGATGGCAAAATGCCCCATTAAAAAACAGTAGCAATTGTGTCCATCTGTGTGCACAGAAACATTTTATACGAGAACTTCACGGAAATAGCTACATATGAAAACTTATTGATTAAACATTTTTGCATTGTCTGTTGCTTGAATCATTTTTACTTTGTATGAAAACTATCAAAAAAGCAATGTGCCTATTACTAACCGCGTTCCAATCTTACTCTTAAAATGTGGTGGTGTGAAAGTGTCATGTTTGATCAAAACCCTATTTTAGCTTTACTTGATAATTGCGCATACGCGGAACGAATTCTCGCTGAGCTTGAAATGAGGAATCAAAAGTCATCAGAAAATGGTTTAAAATGCATGAATAGTTATGCGCAGCACTGCCTATCATACCTCTGCGCCGTTCCTGCGTGAGGTGCCCGTTTATTTTAAGCCGCATGAAACACTGTCAGCACATATTAAGGGTGCAGACTTGAGTCATTTTTGCAGTTTCTCACAAAATTTCTGCTACAAATCATTCTCCAAGCTTTTGGCAACCACACACTTTCGTCAGCACTGTGTAGATATAAAAAATATATAACCACACGTCCCCAATACCACATGTGTACACAGCTTCAACTACTACGTCCCCAACAATATCGAATAATAGTAGCAGCATAAAATATTTCTTTGCAATTTTTCAACAGTGCTCTAAAGACGGATGTTGAAAATTTATACTTTTAAGATGGGGACGTGCATCTCCCAGTAACTTGATAGATTAGAGGAACGGTGACGCAGGAATTAACACCCGTTATTTTGAATGCATTGTGCGCCTGCTAATTTTTATGAAAAAATTGTTTACTTGCTTTTTTCAGTGCACTGCTTTAATCCATTTCCATCGTCTGCTTGTTTCGTACCAGCGGTTTGGAAATCGATAGAATTTCACTGGTGGAGTCAACCCCTTCATGTTTGCATAGTTATTGTGACAGTTGACGACGCAGCAATAGTTCCCCCTTTTCTGTTGGGGTGACATCGGGGAACGAGGGACGTTTCACGTGCAGCGCGTGCTTCGCAAATGAGTGGAAGCCAAAGGTAGCGGAAGGGTCGGAAGACTCTACTGTTGTGCGCTTTTTTTGGCAGGGGAAAGACAAGCGCTGGCGTCGGCGGGCAAACTTGAGCGGGTCTCCCCTATACTAACGCAGGTCAAGAAAATGCTCAGCAAAGACGTCATTGGGCCTTGATCGAGTCCTTTGGCATCCCCTGTGGTCTTAGTTAAAAAGAAGGACAATACCTAGCGCTTTTGCATCGACTATCACCACCTCAATCAAATCACTAAGAAGGACGTTTATCCTCTATCCCAAACAAGGGCTAAGCAATCCCGCTCAGTGATAGAATAATTTTTTTTTCTTGCGACAGAAGGCAACTAGCGGAAGCTATTACACGGTTGGAGCCATTCTGTATCTGAGCGAGTATAGCAGCAATGTCATGGTCACTTGCATCAATGCGAAGCTCTGTTCGAGCGGCTGGATCAAAATGAGCCAAGACAAGTGGCGATTTGAGGGTGGTAATGAGCGACGCAAAGGAATTTTTTCGGTCCTTCCCCCAAGAAGAGGCCTTATTATTTTTCAGGAGATCCGTGAGGGGCCTAGCAATATCCACGAAGTTGAAGACAAAGCGGCGGAAGTATGAGCAGAGCCCAATAAAACTTCGAACTTTTTGTGTGAAACGCGGAACTGGGAATTCTCAGACTGCACAGACATTGTCAGGGTCGGGTTGCACACCAGTGGCATCAACAAAGTGGTTGAGTAGTTTAATCTGCCGGCTTCCAAATGCGCATTTCGATGAATTCAGTTGGAGACCAGCGCAACGAAAAACGCCTCGAATTGCCGAGAGAAGAGACAGGTGGCTTTCGAAGGAGGGCAAGAAAACGATTACATCGTCCAGATAGCAAAGGCAGGTTGACCATTTGAAACCACGGAGAAGAGAGTCCATCATACGTTCAAAAGTAGCCAGGGCATTGCACAACCCAAAAGGCATCACCCTGTATTGGTAAAGGCCGTCGGTTGTGATGAATGCTGTCTTCTCCCGGTCGTCCGAAATTTGCCAGTATCCAGATCGAAGGTCAAGGGACGAGGAATAGTTGGTGCCGTGGAGGCAGTCGGGTGCATAATCAATTTGGGGTAGAAGATAAACGTCCTTCTTAGTGATTCGATTGGGGTGGTGATAGTCGATGCAAAAGCGCTAGGTGTTGTCCTTCTTTTTAACTAAGACCACAGGGGATGCCAAAGGACTCGATCAAGGCTCAATGACGTCTTTGCTGAGCATTTTCTTGATCTGCGTCTGTATAACTTAGCACTCAGCATGTAACACACGGTAAGGGTGTTTCTGGAGTGGACTGGCGTTCCCGATGTCGATGCGGTGGCATATGACACTTGTGCGGCCCAGGGGACGGTCTTCAACGTCAAAGATATCCAGGTAAGAGAATAAAACACCTCAGAGCGCTGCAACTTGGCAAGGTAAGAAGTTGCCGGATATCATTTTGTCGAGGAACGTCTCATATTGCGGGTTGATGACAGGTTTCGCCACAGTCTTAGTGTCAGGGGTGAAAGAACAAATCGAACATTCATCCAGGGTGGAAAGATATGCTAAAGTGATGCCTCTGGGAAGAACTTTGGTCGACGTAGAGAAGTTCAGAACAAGAAGTAGCGTCGTGTTGTTAGCAATATTCACTATAGTATGTGGTAGTGTGATGAGGTGCGTAAGGGTCAAATCAATCATTGGAGCCACTAGATAGTCTCCATCAGGAACGGATGGAAAGGGCGACATAGGAATATACATAGCAGCCTGGGGCGGTGGCCGTAGAGACTCCACGG